ATCATATTAAATGATCATTGAATCAGGTAGAATCAAGAGAGCGCTGACAGTTAAAACTTCTGTTTTATAATAATTATCTAAAGTTTCTCTTTGGGTAGTGAACATTAAATTTTATAAAATATAATTTAAATTACATGTAATAAATACGAAGTTATATAAATTTGAAAACTTTCTACATAAGCAGAAATATCAGACTTTTCTCAAGCTCTCGCTGCTAACAGAAAGTTGAAAGCAAATTGTATAAGATGTTGCCTTTGTGGGTATTTGCACGGAAATCGGGTATGCATAGACAAATAGATGACAGCTTCAATGCTGCGAGCGAAATTAAAATCAAATATTTTCACTCAGCTTGCAGCACGCCTGAACTCGTCCTATGCATATGCCCTCATTAATGTTTACAGGGTATCAAAAGGTTTTGCATGATAACAAATTTGTGCACAACATTTACAAGTTGACTTTTTGTGGCGCGTGTCGTTTCATGTGTGAGTTTTTTTTCCAGAGGTGAGCGTACTTATTTATTTTTCTCTTTTATCTATATAATTTGATTTATGTCACTTGCAGCCACCGACAACCACACTGCACGTTTATCGATTCTATAAATTGCTGTGGAGCGCAGAAGGTGGCTTTGCTGGTGTGGTTCAGCGCCTTGGCAGCAAGCGCTTTAAGTTATCTCCATGAATATCCATTAAAGATGATGAGCCACGCGCGCTTTCAGCAGCGGTTAATGTTAGCGTCAACGACGTGTCACGCCCACACGCCCCATACGCCCCGTACGCGGCCACGGCCACGCCTCCGCCTAAGCATTTAAGCAATAAATTAATTTCGGCCACGAAGCAACTGAAATCAGTGTCTAGACGCAGGTCGCGGGCCCGACCAAGACTCAAGAGCCGCAAAATGCGCGTGTTGAATTTAAAGAGCTCGCAAACCGTGCTCCAGGGCACTTTTCGAGTTGCAAGTCCAGGTCCACGTCATACGCAGAAGTCTTTAGGCCTGCCTTTTGTTCTTTTCATTTTAGATTTTCATATACATTTTCATTTATTTGTTGCTGCTGTTGGGTCTTTAGCGTTTTGCCTTGAATCTTTTATGTTATTCGCACATTAGTCAAATGCCACAGAACAAGCAAAGTAAATTAAAACATGCGAAACATTTTTCAAATAGGCAACACATCATTATGACGAAATTGTTTATAAACAGCAGCAGCAGCAGCAGCAGCCAGATCAACACTTCATAGATATAACTGTGTGCGCCTTATAAATTGCTTCAGCGAATACAAACGTTTGTTTAATTCAATTTTATTTCATTTGCATTTGGATAATGACGAAGAACGTCTTTAATAATTTATAGAAATTTGTTAGGCAACTCTAATCTGCAAAGGGACTTCCCTAAAGCTCGCCACTTTAGCTATGCAGATATACGTATAGAATGATTACGACACAGATATGCAATCAGTCGAGTGCTCTATATTATGCATACCTCAGAACAATATGCATACATAACTCTCGCTTCTAAGACTACAGAGAAATGCTTAAATAAACGTATTTCTTTATCGATCTTGGCAGCTTTAATGAAAATGGAATTGATTGTTGTCTAAAGAGTGAATTCCCAGCACTCGTTGAGTCGAATTTTGAGTGTATTCTTTAGAGTTGTACAAGATTAAATCATAATAAAAAAATTAAATATATTATAAAATTCAATCAAAATGACTTTGTTAGTTAGAGGATTATGTGACATTATTGTTAGAATACAATTTTAATTTAAAGACACAATTTGAAACATAATTTTTTATAATCATCATTATAATCATAACCATTAATGTTCATGAAATCATGTGAGCAATGACTCCGGCAGCCAATAAAGTGCGCCAAACACTCATTTTCTTTACTCATTTCACTAATACCCAAAGCAAATGCAATAATTTTACTAATTTACACACATTATCTATGCCATAAAATAGACGAAGTGCACGATGAGTTGGACGAACAGAATAATTATTTTGATTTCCAATTTCAACAATTTTCAAGTGTGGCTCTAGTCTAAATCTATTTCTTACAAAATGTAAATTCGAGTTTAATAAAAAGCAATTATCAGCGCTTAATTGGACTATCGAATAGAGCAGTGTTGCTAGCACAAGCTTGTACAACTCTTAAAAAACACCTTACATACAGACATGTCTATAATTTAAACATTATTTTGCAATGATTTCATCTTCCCTCTACTCTATAACATTACCAAATCTTTCATTTAAGTCAAAGAAACAACACTTGATTTGCTTGCGAAATCACCTGTGCTTTAAGCTGAAATTCTGAAAGTAAATCATATTGATTGCTTTCCATTCATTGATCATCACTTCCAACTCTTAACAAAGAGCTAAGCGACTTTTTGCCCTTGGGCAATTTATTTGGTAACCAAAAGCTATTTGTGGCTTTCAGTTTAAGGTACATAATTTTTAATTAAACAGAGTGCGCTAATAAACTCAAATAAATTAAAATTGCAAACAATAGACTATATATAGAACATTTATCAATTAAGTTATAAACTCAGCCTCGGCCGTGGAAACAGAAAAGTGCCAAAAAATTAAATGAATTATGAAAATCGAATGGGCTTTTGGGCGGAATATAAAATATTGAAAAAATATATTTTAAAATGAAAGCTGTAAATAGTTTACTGCCCAAGTGCTATAGCTGGAATATAACAATTTATTAAATATTTTATTTATATATTTATTGACTACAACAAATCTAAGCTAGTTGAGATGCTGCCCAACAGCCAAAGAGTTTAATAACTATAATCCATCTGCTGGGACAAGAGCCCGTCTATATAACCTACTGCAAATGCCTATCTGTGCTACCTCAGCTCAACCCCGTCGTTAGGTCGGTTCATGGCCCTTTGTGGTATATGCGTCAATGGCAACATGTGTAGCAATTGATTGCTAACCCCATTTTGTGGCCGGCAGCTGCTGTGGACAGAGCTGTTAGGATGATCGGCAACGGCAGCCTGATTACCTGTCGGCTAATCAAGTTGAGGCTGGTCAAGCCTTGCTGCAAACGCAGCCATGTGGCACTGTTATGTTGCGCATTTGATGTACATTGTGAGCAGAAAGCGATTAGAGAGCTAATTGAAGAGACACGGAGAGAGAGAGAGAGAGGGATTGAGGAACAGAGAGAGTGAGACAGAGCTAGGCCTGTGTTTGTTTGGGTTGTCTGGGTCTGGCCAATTGTCATTAATCGCAGCTGTCGACCCTGTTATGGCGAAAGACAACAACTCATATGCGTTTCTGACGACTCATGTTGTTTATCTGGTTGCGGCTTACAACAATTAATTCAATAAAGTAAATCATGCGGAGGCACTGCGAGACTCTGGTGCTGCCAAACATTTGCCTTGACCTAAAAAACTTTGTTCCATTTGACTGCGGCTCGTGGCGCAAAACTAATTCTTGGCCCAACCGAAAACTTGGAAGCTTATTGGGCTGCTGTCTGCGGAGTTTTGTTTAGATGTTTGCAGACTGATTTACGCTAAAGTGTCGTGGCTCTAATAAAGAGAGTAATTTGTGCTAAATTATGGCTTAAAGCTAAGTTCACTTTCCTTTACGTGCAATTGCAGCAAAAGTTGTTTTCTTGGGGAACTCAATTATCCATTCAACTAGATTGCACGAAGAGCCACAATTGTTCCGTGTTTTGTTCATTTAGTTTTTAGTTATTGCTTCCATTTGTGCTCCTTTGCTATTCTTATCTAATTGGATTTACTTGGAATGTGTGCTCCCAGCTGCTAAGGTGGATTATGTTTGCCTTTCGGCTGACATATGTTGCTCAAAGGGAAGCTGTAGAGGTGTGTTCGCTGGGCATCGGGATTACTCAAATCAGCCTTCGGGCGTGTGCATTTATGAATCTGTGTTAGCAATTTATGAAAATATTCTCTCGCTTTGCCTCTTGTTTGCAATTAACTTTATTTGCTTATGTTTTGTTGCTTCACTGCTGTCTCAGAGTAGCTGCGTGCTTATTCATTTTTAATAAGTTCAGTGAGTTGCTCTGGCAGTAGGTACATATCCTGCTAAGCCACAGCCGAGTCGAACTGAGCTCGTTCGTTGCTCTGGCAATTTCATGAATTAAATGCTTTAGAGTCAACTCATTGACTGCTCTCACGCTCAGAGCTGTCTTGCAATAAAATCATGGAAAAGCTCTCAGTTTTCTGCTTCAATAAAGTTCCTCCTTTCAGTGGCTCCGTTCGCACTCAGCCTTTAGTATACACGATATCTACATATTCGAATTAGATTTATTTTTTTTATATTTTTTAAGCATTGCTGCTGTCCATGATGTTCATATTTTACTGTAAATCATAATTGTCAACGATCAATTTAGGCTCTACAAATTGAAAAACGAGGCAGCCGCATAGCTTGACTGAAATTTATATAATTTCTATTATATAATCAGCAAATGAATTGCCTAACATTTGATATAATAAAACATTAAACTCTTTAATTGGAATTGTTTCGGTTCGTACAAAACAATTTGGGTCTAAGCACAAATAACTGCCGCAGTTCAATTGGCCAAATGCTGTGCAAACACAATGGCCAACAGGTCTTGTTGCGTTTTCCCATCATTATTCAGTTTTAAGTGCCAACAATGGAAATCAGACTTTTAGTATTTGCGAGAAAACAAACAACTCCGAATGCTGATTGCATTGGCTACAGCGGAAAGCACTTGTTGTTTCACTGATTGCAGCACATGAATACATATATAAATCTATATATATAATAAATATATATATATATATATATAAATGTCAATAACAACAAAGAATTGCATTACCTAAGAGACGATTTAAAGTGAAAACTTTTTAAATTCAAGCTGATTGCGTGAGAGGCTTATGAAAAGTTTTGCCTGATTGAATAACACATTTTGTTTGGGCCATGTCCAATCTCAGCTAATTAGTTGTGTAACATGGTGGGCATGCAAAATAATAATAATAATAGGTTTTTGCCATTTCTCTCATTTCATGTGCAGCACTGAAATTATGTGACGGGAGCTGCGTGGTGTCCAGTTCGCACGTCCACGCCCACGCCTATGGCCACGCATCAAGTATGGAAAACATATCAAAATATTTGAATTTTGGCCGCTGGCAACAACTAATGCACGCTGCCCGGGATTGAAAATTGGCCAAGCGAACATAACGATAGCAACACGCGCAGGAACAGCAGCAGCAGCAGCCAGCAGACAGCAGCAGCAGTAGGAGGATTAGCAGCAGCGACAAAAGCCGCACAACAAACATGAAAGGCTACTCGAAACCAAATGGCGCCGCCAACCGCAGCTGCCACATGGACCATGTCCATGGTGGCTGTGGCATCCTGTTATTTGTGCTGACAGCGCTGACACTAACGAGCTTAATAACGCCCACAGAGCAGTTGACAGCGACGCCAGCGTCGACGGCGACGTCAGCAAATGGAACAACAGCAGCAGCAGCAGCAGCAGCAGCGACGGCAGCCGACGTGAGCAGCCAACAGCCTATGCCCAACGTCATGGATATGGACATCGACGCCGACGTCGACGGCGCTGGCATTAGTTCGATATTGGAACTCTCGGACTACTACAAGCACATGAATGCGAATATGGTAAATGGCGGCGGCTTCATATTTCCCGGCTTCAATGGCACATTGCCGGTGGGCTTTGGCGGCGAGCTGCCCAACGGCAGCGGCCCCTACAATCCCATGCAGGGCTGTCGACGCGATGGCAACTTTGGCCTGAAGCTCATCACGATGATACTCTATGTGCTCGTCTGCATTGTGGGTCTCTTTGGCAACACGCTGGTCATCTATGTGGTGTTGCGTTTCTCCAAGATGCAAACTGTCACCAATATCTATATACTCAATCTGGCCATCGCGGATGAGTGCTTTTTGATTGGCATTCCCTTTCTGCTCTACACTATGCAGGTGGGCAACTGGCCCTTTGGCAATTACATGTGCAAGGCCTATTTGGTTAGCACGTCGGTGACCCAGTTCACTTCATCCATTTTTTTGCTAATCATGTCGGCGGATCGCTACATAGCTGTCTGCCATCCCATCTCCTCGCCCCGCTACCGCACGCCATTTGTCTCCAAAGTTGTGTCGGCCGTGGCCTGGACTACGTCGGTGCTGCTGATGCTGCCAGTCATATTGTTTGCCAGCACCTACGAGTCCGGGCCAAATCACTTCACCTGCAGCATCAATTGGCCCGAGGCTTTCAATATACAATCAGAAACGGCATTCATTTTGTACTCGCTGATCCTTGGCTTCGTGACGCCGCTGATCTTCATCATGATCTTCTACTGCCTGGTCATACGCAAGCTGCACACGGTGGGGCCCAAGCACAAGAGCAAGGAGAAGAAACGCTCGCACCGCAAGGTCACAAAGCTGGTGCTGACCGTGATCACTGTGTACATTATGTGCTGGCTGCCCCATTGGATCTCACAGGTGGCCTTGATCAGCTCGACGCCCGGCTGCGCTTCCAGGCTGGAGCTGGCAGTGTTTCTAGCCTGCGGCTGCCTCAGCTACTCCAACTCGGCCATGAATCCCATACTCTACGCCTTCCTCAGCGACAACTTCAAGAAGAGCTTCATGAAGGCCTGCACCTGTGCCGCCCGCAAGGACGTCAATGCCCAGCTGCAGCTGGAGAACAGTTTCTTTCCCAAGTTTGGCAAGGGGCGACAGTCGGAGCGTTTGATTGGCCCCAATGCCACGGCCAACAATGGCAAGGCCAAGAAGAAGGCGCTGGCCAATGCCCGCAACAATAATGCGCATATGGCCGCAACAACAACAACAACGACCACAGCCGGCACCGACGTCATCACCGCCATACAGCCCATGGCCGTAGCTCAAGCGGCACCCACCCAGGTGACTCCAACAGCCGCGGCGCTGCTCGTCGTGAATGCCGAGACCAACTGTAAGCCGCCAGTGCTGCACACGGACTTATAAGACCGGCCGGCACCTGGCATGCCGCTCGAGACGGTTGTGTTTATAGCGCGCAGATGAGTGCGAATGGCAGTGGATAGCGACGAGCTGCCTCTGGATGCGGACCTGGTTAGTAGACCAGAGTGTTTACTGTAGGCATTGATATTTTTACTATGTATATGTAGAACTGTTTCGATTATATTTCTAGTATTTTTAAGTTCATCTTTACATTCACATACTCCGCTTAGCAGCTTAGGTTCGGCGAGCTATGAGCGATGAAACAGATTTCATCTTTATTTATTAGTATGGAGCCCTAAGCCAAAGATATAATCAGAGAAAGACCTCGATGTTGTAGTTGGGCAGTTGTCCAAAAAATCTAACATCTGAAGGGGAATAATTCAACCAAAACAATTCCACGGGAAATAAAGCGAAAAAGAAACAAAATACACAGATATTCGAACAAGTTTTCACAATATCGAATTAAATTCCCAATGTGATGATGAACTAAGGAACGAAGACGATTAATAAGATATTGCTTAAAAACAAACAAGAACAATTTAATAATAATATGGGAATGTTTAAATATCATTCATTCAAAAGGTTTATAGATATTCAATTAAAAAAAGAAATTAATGCTAATTAAAACTTAATCTTAAAATAAAAATACTTCAATTCGATGTAAACTCCTTTAAATAAAAATGTTTATAAATGTAAAACAAAAAAAAGAATTTAAGAAAATAAATAAAATTGCTGTTAAGCCAAAGAAGTTAATAAAAATAATAAAAAATGAAATCTAATTAATTAAAATCACATTTTAAGTGTTGCCATTAAATAAAAACAAAAACAAAAACAATGTTTACATTTTTGAGTGTAAAAAAATAAGCTTATTAACATTCTCATAGTTGTAACTATTTCCAAAACTCTTATCAATATTCAGAAAACTACAGGAATAATGCATGTATTCGTATTAAGTGTAATTTGAGCTGCTTCAAATTGTGAAATTCAATGGAATTTAAGTTCATAATCAAAAATTAATAAAAAAAATTAAATAAATCGCAAAATTTGAATTTTTTTTTGTAATTTACAGGGCAGGAATTACCTTTCTACAACTGCTTTAATAGTGTTTTTAATTTGGTTTTATTATATTTTTATAATTTTTATTGCCCACAGAGTTCTCAGCAAATATTAAGCACATTTATTAGATGCCATCATATTATAATAACAGTGTATGAATTAATATGAATATGAAATAATTTAATGCTAGCACTCAAAGTAGCCTTTATTACCTTTGCAGCTATCTAAATGTTTATCTTTTACGCTGTAAGAATTCGCTTGGCTCTCGCCTGCTGTTGACTTGCAAATGTAGCTTTGACTGTGCGTAATAGATGCAGATACCAAATGGTGAAGCAGACAGAGAGAAAAAAGAGAGAGAGGGAGAGAGAAAGAGAGAGAGCCTGATAAAACTTGCATTTGAAAGTGCGACAATAAACACATAAAAACAAGATTAAAAACTCCTTTGAGCGTGCCGAAGTTTTAATACTCTTGCAGATAGATGATAGAGGTTGTTGTGTTGAAGAATTATTTATATATAAAATATATAAATAGATCTGATATAATATGATTTTTAGACATATTACAATAAGAGTTATGCTTGATAGTTGTGAGTTAGATGAAAACTTATTGAAATCCTGAAAACTATACAACGATCTTAATTAATTTAATTCTGAATATCTATAATATTCTTAAATAAATACAATCTAAAATATTCAAACATATATACTAACTAGAACAAGCAGACAAACTTATCAATATCTCTAACTAAACCAAATAAAAACTGTTAGACAACTGACTGTTAGACTACGTACAAATTTCTGATCCAGTTAGACGCGCTTTTGCCTTAATACAGTACACTCTCCATATCAGTATAATAACACCTTTCACTTCAGGGCATCAGCTCATCAAAGTGTAAGCGAGAAAAACAAAGCAATAAACTGCAAAGTGCAAAGAGGGCTGCAAAATTGTCAACAAGAGAAACAATTTTCATGCTTGATGTAATGTCCATTTGGAGATTCACAAGATGCTAACAACCTAACGCAGGGCGCTTGACTGTCCGAAGACAATTCCAAAAACACTTTTATTCACCAAGAGGAAGCGAATGTTCGACTAGAAGATGCTCTAACAAAAGTTGTTTGTGGCAAAGGCGTTATGTAGAACAAGTTATCAAGAGCACAGTCAAAATATATATAGAAGAGAGACTTTTTGTATCAGTAAAGGCATGTTCTTCCACCAGTTATATATAGCCGATTTCAGCCTGCCTTTATGTAGGGTATTAGCTCAGAGAAATGCAGCAGAGGAGAAAAAAAGTATTTCACAGAACATATACAGAAAACTAAACAGAAACTTTGTTAGCAAATGTCTGCCGGTTGGGCGCTGAACAATGGAAGCTGCATTGCGTGCAATATGAGTGCTTGTCCGAAGACTTCTGCTGTTGAGCTGCGAATAATGGAAATTAGTGAAAGAAGAACGAGCGTGGTGAGGTCTAAATGCACTAACAAATCTCCATACGCATAAGATTTAACTAGGAATTGAGTCATATTTTGATATATTTATAGCTAACTGGCGAAAGTTTAGAAAAATATAAAAATAGAAAATCTATGGGAACCTGGCATACTCTTTCAGCACTTACTAAATAAATCCCTCACTCAAGTAGAGTATTTAGCATGAAGTAATCGCTGTTCAAGTTGCTGCCCCACACGCCAGGGCAATAGACTTCAATTTGCGGGCTTGTGGTAGCTGGGTTAGGGTCAGCGATAGTAAATGTTAGTGCCTGGCAAGTGTTGGAAAATGCGAAAAGTGTGCGCAACAAAGCAAATCAACAATGGCACAGTGCACGCGTGGCATTGCTTCGGCAAAGCGCAGATTGCCTGTGCAAAATGTTTTCCATTTTTGCCCCATCAGGCGAGACATTGATGCTCCATGTGCTGCTAGTTATTTAACTGGACTCTGTGGCACTGCCTGAAGGTCAGGCATATTGATTATTTGGAATTTCATTAGCAGGCGAGTCAAAGTCAAAGCCGCGTGGAGCTTGGAATTATGATGCTCTGCCTGCATTCTTATGCACTTGTCCATATGCTGCATTCTGGACAGACAATGGCAAGGGATAACCAGCTGGTGGCAAGGATACGAAAAGTGCCTGGTCGATTGGCTGGTGGGTCGGGCTGGTGCTTTTTGCGCTCTCAGGATTTTAATGGGCTTGTGATGATGGTGTCTGGTTAGTGTAGAAGGTTTACGCGGCTGCAGCATGCAGCTGCAAATGCAAATCCCCTCGGCACAGACCGGGGCCAAGTTGAAAGTTTGAGGTCAAGCACAAGTACAGAAACCACTTAAAAGTCGCTACGTGCGCCAAGATGCGAAACGAAAGACGCTGAAACCGGATACAACTTATTGCCATATTGATGCAGCGCAAACTCTGCTGTCAGTTAAGTTATGAAAGCAGCCCGAGGAGGCGCCAGTGCCAGTCGGTTTATACATAAACTATGCTTTGTGCAGGCAGCCATTGCAGCTGCTAATTAAATTCCTACTACTCTGGACTGACCTTACCCACCCACACATATTTCCAATTTCAATTTCAAAGTCAAATGTGGGGCGGGAGGTGCCGAGCGACTTCAAAGCGCGCGCCATACGTTTTTGACCCAATTTATTATGGCCAAATGCATACGGACATACATACGTATCTATGTAGAAATTGAAAATCAAATTAATGCTTCACACTTCATAAATCGGGCATTGAAAATGAACAGATTAAAGGTCTGGCCGGAGCATTTTCGATTTATATTCATTTTTTTCTATTTTCAAAACTAAAAATACAACAAAGTCGCTTTATAAATACATTAGCACCTCAACATGCTCGAGATGTAGGAATGTATATATATATATATATATATAAATTTGTATATCTGGTATGCAAAGCAAACAGAAATTCTATGTGTGTGCTAATAAAATGAAATAAAAGAAGAAAATTAGGCAAATTGGCGTTTTGGCTTTTCGGCCAAAGGCTAATGGCTAATAGCAAATGGCATTTTCACAGGTGGAAAACTCTTGCGCACAGCTTACAATTGAGTAACAAAAATAAACTTTGAAATTTAATTTAAATACAAATTTTAATGAGCAACAAATTAAAAGAGTTTTTCCCTCTCACTGAGTGAATTTATAACGAAATTTAAAGCTTTTTGGTATTTCAATTTTAAATTGATAATTTTTATATATACATTAAAATGAAATCAACCCAAGTTATAATACATTTATTTAACTTCTCAAATTATTATGCACGAATTTTCACAATTTAATCTAACAAAAATTTAAGTGCACGAAAACTAAAGCAGAAGCTGCTGCTGCTGCTGTCGCTGCCACTCGACTATTACTCATTGGACATAAAGTTTATCTCAGTTTTTATCAACATATTCATCTATAAAAATATTTAGTTTAATATAAAAAAAAGCTTTTTATAAGAACTTAAATTATTTAATTGAGATATATGCCTATGTTCTATGGCCTGTTTAAGACGCTTATATTAAAGCCGACTTTGAAGCTGGCTAAAGGAGGATCTATGCAATATAAGTACACGTGTATGCATATATATATATATATATATATATATATATATATATATAAATATTTTTTTTTTCTGTATACATATATATATAGAGAATAACACTTGCTTATCAAATTAACAAAATGAGCATGAATGAAGCTGCTTGATAAGCTAACCTTGATAAACTGGATAAACAATTTTATAGCCTGCACCCATTGCAAATGGGAATTCAGGGTATAATTGTTTTGTGAAAATGTATGTAACAGTTTGAAGGAGGCGTGACAGACTCAAAAAATTATATATACGACAAATTAATGTATATATATCAAGAGGATGAATCGGACAATAAGCACTGTTCAAAACCTCAAAGCCAAGAGACTTCGAAACTTAATTCCCGTATAACATCAGCAATACAAGCTTATCATTTTTATCGATAACTCATCACAATCGTTGGAAAACCGATAACATAACTTCGTTTGAATATTACAAAAGATGGAAATAGAAAACTTACCGTGGAGCTTCCAGCGATTTTATATATTTTGGATTTTGGATAACCCAAAATTCTTTAAAAAAAACATATTTCGAATATTAGAAACTTGGGCTAAAACTAATGCATACATATGAATGTCATTATCATTGTTAAGAAAGGTCGTGAAGAACAAAAGTTTTTTAACATTTGGCATATCAGCTGGTCGCAGGGTTCAGGGTAACTCCGAGTCGGGCAGTCTCTACTAGAGTACTGCTACTTGTTACTATATATTATTAAATAAAGTCCCAGCTTCTGTTTAGTTCCACATTCAAAGTCATATGCACAAGACGACGGCTTTTACATTTTCACAAGCAAAATGTTGTTAAAAGCTCAAAGTTTCGTATGCGTTCTAGTTTTTGGTTACTTTGCTACGGTAGCTGCTGAAGATAAACAGGTGAGTTGAGCACTCGTAAGTCTCAATTCAAACTGTGCTCAATTTGTACATTTGCAGTTGAACAATGTTCTGCAGAGTAAAACGATTCACATTGTCGACGTCAACGGGAACACGGGATCTATGCAGATAAATGCAACATACAAGAATATAAACACGCTGAATGTTGTAGGCAATGCAAATCACAGTCTATTGGCCAATTTTATTGGCACAGGTCTGATAAAGTCTCCGCCTGCGCCAGCAGCCGATGTGACGACAATCATTAGCGAACTTAGAGCTCAAATCAACAGTTTGAATGCCTCTGTGAACCATCTGACGAATCTGCTCACATCGCATTTAGAGGAGAGGAAGCTGGAGAGGCAGGCAGCTGGTTGCTCTGTGATCGACAACGTGAGCAGTGTTCAGCTGATCCAGATTCCTGGATACGCTCCATTTCGAGTTCTTTGCGATTCAGAAGTCGGCTGGATGGTCATACAACGTCGTTGCGATGGCAGCATTGACTTTTACAGAAACTGGCAAGCATATCGCAATGGATTTGGCTCCTACGAAGGCGAGTTCTTTCTCGGCCTGGAGTACATACATCGCCTGACCAAATCACGGCCATACGAGCTTTATATCGAGCTGATTGACTTCGACAATCGAATCTCCTACGCTCGATACGACAGTTTTCTCATTGGCTGCGAACAGGAGCAATACATGCTGAAGTCCCTGGGCACGTACAGCGGCAACGCTGGCGACTCATTGAAATATAATCTGTATGACAAGTTCTCGACCTACGATTACGACAACGACGATTGGTCGGGCGGCAACTGCGCCAACTATTACGAGAGCGGCTGGTGGTACAAGTGGAATGCAAATAGGTGAATCAACGATTCACGTAACGCTTATCGAAACTAATTACTGACTAGCTCTTTCTACCTTCATTTAGTAACCTCAACGGCAGATACATTAAGAGTGGAGAGAAAAGTGCGAAGGGCATTTGGTGGTACACGTTGCATGGCTACTACTCGCTGAAGTCGGTCGGAATGTTTATTCGACCAAAGTACACTTTACTTTGAGCTAAAGTTACAATATAAACTGATTAAAAAATGCATATGAGACAGTCTGAAACATAAATAATAAATAAATAATTATTCGATTTATAATAGAAGATAAGGAAAGCACGTGTTTTGTTTATAAAAAGTAAAGCAAGCGATTTTTTATACCCGACACCAGTTGATGTTGTGAATTCGGGGTATATTGATTTTCATAAAGGTTATGTAACAGGCAAAAGGTGGCGTGGCTGAACTCATTAACCATATTTATAACAGATCAGCAGTCGATATAGCCTCAGTGAGAAATAACAAAGCTAAAGACTGGGATTCTTCTGGGTATCTTCTAGTCGAGCAATCCCAGCAGATGAAGCAGCTTTACAGTTTTCGACAGGGCATGCGATATTCGGACACTCCCCACTAGAAGTCTCTTGTTATATTATTTTGAAATATAATCGCATTCGCTGTGAACCCGAGACCTGTATTATTGATTGCAGTTTGATTTTGCTGTATAAAGTAAAGTCGTTGTTCAGATGAACAAAATGCTATATTCTTCCACTCACTCAGTCAATATCAAACATGGGAGCTGTGAGGATGTGTATTTTTGAGCTTTTTCTGCTTATGTTATTGGCAGCGCGATATGAATGTAATGAGATTGATGTAAGTACTGTAAACTGAATAATATGTGGACTACAATATTTTCACCTTTATACTACATAGACCTTATCGCTGGATAAATTGAAAACAGAGATCAAGTTGAAAGCTTATAAAGTGGCCATGCAGGAAAGGGATGAGCAAATTGCGAAAATACAGGAACAGCTGCATAGCCTCCAAGCAAAAGTTGAGCTGTTTGATCTGTACAGCAATGAAAATAAGCAATTAATCGCATCGATGAAATCACAATTGGACTCCAACACAGAAGCTCTACGGATAGCGTTGAATCAAATTGCCAGCTTTAATAGTTCCATTGCCACGCACGGCTCAAGCACCAAGTCCGAACATAAAGCCTTAGCTGAAGATCAGGCCATGAATTGTATGCCCTTCCAAAACTCATCGGATATACATGATATATTTGTGAATGGCTTCGGACATCTGTCGGTGCTCTGCGATGCCCAAATAGCTGGCGGCGGTTGGCTAGTGGTGCAGCGACGTTTCGATGGCAGCGTGAATTTCTATAGAAACTGGGCTGAGTACAAGGAAGGTTTTGGTGAACTGGAAGGTGAATTCTTTTTGGGCCTGGAGTCACTGTTTCATTTGACCAAATCGCTGCCGCATGAGATGTATGTAAGGCTTGTTGACTTTAACAACAATGTCCGGCACGCCCGTTACGATAACTTCATGATTGGCAGTGAGGAGGAGCAGTATATGCTGAAGTCACTGGGCACGTACTCCGGAAATGCTGGCAATGCCTTGGCGTACAATCTGCATGACAGCTTCACCACTTATGACCAGGATAACGACGGCTGGTCCCAAGGCAATTGTGCCGTGTATTACCTAAGCGGCTGGTGGTACAACCTATATGGCAACAGGTAGGCTTAAACACAAATATATTTGCCTTATACTTACATGAATCAAAAATCGCATTGCAGCAATCTCAACGGCAGATACTTTGATAAGCAAGTTCATAGTGAGCAGAGCATTTGGTGGTATAACTGGAAGGGTTATTATGCATTGAAGTCCGTTCAGATGATGATACGACCCAAATATACGTCAATCTAAGCCACTAAGAGAATATATTACATTTCGATTGTTTCCCAAAACATCTAACTAAATACAGTGAATATATATATATATGCATATAATATTTTATTTTCTTTTCTATATATTTTATATGACAATTTGTCACAAATGAGGCATCTTTGACCATTCAAAAATAAATAAATATATTATTAAAAAATGTAAAGTCTCTTGATCTAAAGTATATCTTTCTGTTAGCTATACATAGTGAAAGAAACAATCTGCATTGAGCGATTGACATCTCAAGTTATTTAGCCACAAACAATTTGAGCAATAAAGAGAAGTGAGTGTAGAGAAAAGCAATGTTGATTTGTAAGAAGAATGTTGCTATTTGACAAGAATTTGTAATAAATGCAGCATAGATCGCTGTAGCTCATTCATATGCAATTTACTAGGCTCATCTAAATTGGATTCATATATTGTTTAGCACTTTAGAAGTGAGTAAAGTCTTTCTTTCGAAACTAATGTTTACCCTTTGTCCAAGCAAACTTATTGCTTTTAATTGTATAAACAACATGAGAATTTTATTCCTACACACGTAAACAGAAGTAACCAGATCTGTTCTGGTTTCAATTTCACATTCTCTTCAATTTATTATTCTCTTAAATTGTGATACAAATGAAGAGCATGATGAGAGCTCTTAGAAATTCAAAACTCACTCAAAGGCAAATGCTGTTCGTATTGATCTCAGTGTTAATTCACTCAAATGCCTGCGCAGCTCATTTCTTGAGAGCTGTTTTGGAATGTATTCAAGATGATATTTAAATAAGACAAAGAGTCTAGACATATTAAATTCACATACTTCACACTTTACTATAAAAAAATCTCATTTATATTAAATGAATTGAATATATTTAAATATATAACGAGCAAGTCAATGTTAGTGGTTCCACCTTTAGCGACAAATCGTTGTAGATAAACAGTTGCTGGATGCTTAACAATATTGTATTATCTATACTCTATAAAAGGAACTCGTCGAAAACATTGTCTACAGCGTTTTTCTACTCATGAAATCATTATGAATGCATTAAGGATCAGTGGCGCTGGGGGCCAAGGTTTCGCGTGCGCAGAGCAACTTTGCATAATCCATAATTTTTGCATTGCCAATTGCTTTTCCAGTTTGGTGGCAGCTTTGACACTCACACACACGCTCAAGCACACACTTGGCAGCTCGGCAAACACCCCTTTGGCTGCAGCGCAGCGCCAGCTGTTCAAAGTCAAAATTCGCTATGCGCCGTTAAGGAAATTGCTCAAATTTTGCGGCCAAATTGAAAAGTTCTTCAACGTTTTGCCATTTTTTTCTCTCGCTTCTTTTTTTTCTATTTTTTTTCAATTTTTATCCTTTTTTGTGCTACTGTCTAGTGGGTGGGCCAGCGCTGGCAGCACTTGTTGTGGTTTATGTTTTATTATGTTTTATTCTACACTCAGCTTTTTGAGCGCATGGCTGCCTGATTGCCACCATTTCGATACTTGACTGAGCAAATTGAAAGTTTTCTCCATTTTGTTTGTGTGTTCGCTGGAAATTCTGTGGCCACTCGCCCGTGGCAGCAAGCCTCCATCTTTTTGTTTATTTTTTTGTTGTTTTTGCATACGAACTAAACTAAAATTTATAAACTATTTCGATTTGGTGTGCATTACCTTTTCTCGCCTGTAATCCGCTTCAGTATCAAATTGCTCAAAAGTGCAAAAGTTGTTGACTCGACCAATAAATTTGTGAATTGCTTTCAGGTTTACTTTTCGCTAGCTGCAGTAATTGGACGCCAAGTCACGCCTCAGCGATGAAGCTCGATGCATGCAAATTTAAAGCATTGCACTCAACCACAAATCAAATCAAAACACAATTGCAGCTAGCTTGATTGAGTGCTGCACTCAGTGAGCAAAATCAATGGAAAATTAATATGAAAAAGTCTTAAAGGAAGAGGTGATAAAGGCTCATAAATAATATTAAATTAAATAGTTTTGATTAAGCTTTGATTGATTGACCAAATAAGAGCAGTGATATAGGAAATTTCAACAAAGCCGCAACCAAATGCAGATATTGCATTCTGCCTAATTTTATTACCAATATTATCATGCCATACCATGCATAGTCCTCACGTCACCGCAGGCATTAGGTGGCCAATGATGGCAGCTTTCTCTTCATATTCAATATTAAATTCGTATTCTGCTACAGCGATTAATTTATTTTGTTATTTCGCAACAGCTTAAGGGACAAAAGAGTAACCCTTTTACCTCTGCGACGCACTGAAGCCATGAAAACAACAGATCCAAACGCCCTTAAAACGGCTAGAATCTTGCTTAAATTTGCATTATTTTCATAAATTAAGCAATTATATTAAATATTTAAGATACCCTATATTATAGATAAGTGAAACAGCGGCTGAAATATATTTATGGGAAATAGTATTGAGCTGGTATGGTCACCATATTTATGTGATATGTATATGGATATAGAGAAGCAGCAGGAGAAGCAACTAGACGCAGTTGGTCAATAAGATGGAAAGTAAGCGCAAACTATCTAATATCGTGCACTTTATTAAGAAAAGGTTTCACGAGAGTTACTTGCCGCACCTCTGCTATCTTCAGAATTTCTCATTAGTTACATAAAATCAACACTCCATGCAAATAAATTGTATTTGGAGAGTATATATCTGTCATATTAGACTTTTAACTTTCTCCTTAATATATAAAATATAACGCATTTATACAAAATGTATTTGATATGACAACATTTCTGTTTGTCACATTTATTTATATAACTATTTCAAAATATATTAATTTTTGAATATTAATAAAATATATTTAACTAATTGCATCAAATATTTCATCATTTTCAAAGCAGCTAATATGATAAAATAAATAAATAAATAAATATATATATATATATATATATATATATATATATATATATATATATATATATATATTTATATATATATATTTATATAATCTAAAGTTTCTATATACATAGGAAATAACAGAGTGTAATACGAGCGCGTGTAAATCAACTCAGAGTTTGTTTAATATTTTATCACCCAAACAGTTGTCGGCCTTGCTTTGGCCTAAAACTTGAATCGCTTCCATCGTCGGTTGACAGCTCAAACTCAAATCGATCAGCGCTGACGGCAGAGGATGGCGCCATGTGAATGAACCTTTTGGTCAGTTCACTTCCGTAAACAAAAGCCACACTAACTGCTTGTCTTCCTCTTCTTTCTCTTGTCTTTCTCTGTTAGTTTGTTTCCTCCTTCTTGGCATTTTCTTTTTTGTTCATTCGACTCGGCTTGGCATTCTTTGGCATAAACATGCTTCAAATATGTTGGTCATATAAATGGTTCACGTCATGCTTTTAGGCAGCACCGCCTTAGCCTGCCCAACGAGAAAAAGCTGCCAATGACCAAGTCCACGTAGTAAATAACTTACTAGCCCAGTGGGCATGGCCGAAAATAACGCCCACATTGTACTTGAACGTGCACTTGTTCTGTGGCCGGGGCCTGGTCATCAATTACGTGAAGCGTTTCACAAATTGCAGCCGTTAATAGGACGCGCCCAGGCTCTAGCGTCTTTCTCTGTCATAGCTCAAAGGAGCTGCCAAGTGGCCGTCAATGGCGTTGATTGAATGAAATGGTAAAAGGCATCAAAATTGCAGTTGATTAAACGCGTCACTTAAAGCTCAGGCAGCAACGAAAGTCCAAAAGCCAAAGCCTTGGGCTCAAATTTCAACGCATCGAGATAGTATCTTAATTACCCACCCACACAAAGCAAACACACCCACACACACATACACCCACACAATTGCCCAGAGAAACATCAGCAAGTCACTGACCCAGCCGCAAAGGAAACAAATTTGGTCAGCTCTTTAATATTCTGCAAGTCAATGTTTACGCTCAGTTTCAGCTTCGGCTTATATATATATCTTAATATATAAAGTACTAATCAAGTTTGCATGAAATCTTTTAAAACTTAATATGCTGCATAAATGCTACAGGGTATCTTTCAGCCGTAAAAGTTGACCTTGTTTTCCTTACTGAACGAATTTCTTTTAAGGCGACAAAACGATAACAATTTCCTGTTTGCGTAAACTTTACGCGCTCACACTTTCTCGCACTTTACACAGGCTCGAGGCCGCTGAGCTCCGGACCACAAGGACCACAGGACAAACGGAAAACATTAATTACAAAGACCACACACACAGACACTGAAACATTCCGACTTTGGCACACTTATTGTATAGAGACTGGCTGCACACCTAGGCGTATACGCAACAATGACAACAATTTGGGGCCCATCGGCTGCCAGCACTGAGAGCTACGCTCTAGGACCTACCTCGCCCTTTAGGCTCTGCCCCAGTGTGCGCAATTCAAGTTTGTTTTGTGCCTCTACTCGAGTGCTCATTGTTTGCGCGGCCGCAGTTATTTATGCTGGGCTCCATTTGGGCTTCGCGTGCGCCAACGTGTTTTTTTTTATGCCACTGCCTCGTCCTCAGCTGATGAGCATTTTATTTGCTGACCATAGTTGTGCCAGGCCTCGAGACCACAAAGATTTGTCATTTCCACCAGACACCATGAAATGTGTGGAACGTGTTTTCCTCGAGAGTTTCGCATAACAAGCTCAAAACAAGTGGGCGTCGCTCAGTGAAAAGTGCACGACTTGAAGATATGCTGCGCGCTGATACAGCATCAATTTTAATATAATTCCATTAATCAATCAATTGAAGCACAAATGAAGCTTTTTAGGCCCTTGGAAGTTTTAGAGAAAATGTGAGCTTAAAGAGCTCTCAAATGTGTTAGGCGTGGAGTTGTCCTAGACGTACTTCATTAATGCTTAAGTCCCTTGTTGATAAATATGTAAATGTGAAATATATTGTATTTTGCTGATTTGATATATCAACTCAGTCCAAGAAAGCTTTTTAAGTGTAGCTTGCGGAAAAAACTAAGAATTTTATGCTTTTTAAATAAATTTGTCAAAGTTAACAGAGGCAAACTTTAATCATATAATTTATACGACTTTCGTACCTACATACCTACGCATGTATATCTATGTATGTATACCTATGCTATCATAGTAAAGTGCTTCTATATAATTTGACCCCAGGCTATGCCCAAGAAAAATACCAAAGGTTAGG